AAGCAGAATAGGCGATTGACCTATATTGCCAGGTCCGTTTCTCCCACAAAGTAGATCCTAGAGCAGCTTAATCCCAATCTTCCCTTCATAATTTTTCAACCAAGCGAACTCCGAGTAACCGTAGCCTTCCCCACGTACCATCCCTTGAGGCATTTCAAAGATATTCAGCTATGAAGTCTCCCGATCTATTTAACTGACCACTTTCATGTGGAAAAAGAGTGACCCCATTCAATACTCACATACGTACATAGGACATACCTAAGATTATGAGTTGAGCTAGATCTGCATAGCTTAATGTTGGGGGTACGGTAAGAGGTCCCGAAGAGGGGACATGGCTTGAATTACGAACCCAAGAGGACAATGGACAGCTTGAATGTGTGGGTCCCAACCTCTGACACGAGGAGCATAAGGAAAAAGTGACCTAACGTTCGAAAATGTACGGAGGGCGCATCGAATGAAGTCATGCACCTCGAGTCTCTGAAAATGATGTAAGACGGTCGAGGCGGATGGTACGGAGAAAGTACAATGCATTCATTATGATGATGTCGTGGGGCGGATATAGGGGGCCACGGTCGGCAAAACTTCAAGTATAAATAGAAGAGTAAGTAAACCTAATTTACTCAATTTTGGCTTCTCTCACTACTGAGTTGCATTTAAATGATTTCTTTTGTGTTACACTCTTCACAAACTATGGTAAGTTAATAACTAATATCCTAATATTTTTTTTCTTTCTTAGTTTTTTAATTAAGCCATGAACTTAGAATAACTTATGGAACACCAATATTTTTTTTCAATTAAATTTTTTCTATCTTATTTGGATTTATTTTCTATTCTCGAGTAAGATTTAGTATTTGTAATTTTTATTGATCTATGTGCATTCTAAATGGTTCCATATAAATGCAATTCATTTATATTTTATTTTCAAAATTTAACTATTGTGTAGCTAATAATATGTTGGATGCATGTATTTAGAGATTGTTGTATTACTCTTGTTGAGATGTAAAGGTTTAAGGATAGAAGATAATGTTTTGTTGTTCTCATAATGTTTACAATACTATAGTATTATGTATTTTACTGCTGTAAATGAACAAAGCTTATGCATGTGACTTAAATATTGCCCAAATTATGATTTTTAAATAATAAATAATGACTATCTTTTAACTAAAGAAAAAACAAGCCAGTTATGTAAGCTCTAGATTATGTCCATAATTCGTGAGACGTCTAATAAGTTTTTCGGTTAACCGGTAACCAATTAGACGCTTTAACGTTTTTGGTTTGCTTTGGCCGAATCAAAATACCAAAAACCAAACTCGTAATTTTGGAAGTACAAAAATGGAACCAGAAAAAACAACAAAAAAACATGAAGATAAGAAACAAGCATACTCTAGTTAAGTTGGTGACACCTTAACATAATTAGAGGAGTATGATAGGTTGCAAAAACAGGGTTTTGCAGCTCGCGTGCGAAAATGCCTACATGCGGCAACAACTGCAGACTGTCAATGTTCGTTCTCCGTTTCTTATATATGTGCTTATTACTCACTTTTATTGATTGGATAAATGACTACTTCATTTTGCTTGTATTTACTTTCTTTGTCGTCGGATTCTTGTTATCTTTGAATGTATGCCAATTACCCTGCTAGGTAGATACAATAACTTATTCCATGCACTCCCATTTTGATCGCACCATTATAGTTGTTTTAAATCTAAGTATATTTTTCTCCGTGTTTTTAGACTCTTCTCCATTGCTAAGAGACCTTGACAGAGTTCCTATCAAAGGCTGGAGGAACTGGTGTCGATTGGGTTCAGATGCCTGGGTGGAAGGTGTTTAGACTTGTTCGACTTGAACTCAAGCTCGTTGAGTTGGATCTGGCTCAAGCTCGGCTCATTAGTTAACGAGCCAATTAACATGAACTTTGAAATCGTACAAAATCAAATAGATCGTATATTTGAAGGATTTTAAAGTGTTAAATTGAGATTTTATGAAATTTAAAGGTTAAAGATTTAGTAATAAAATAAAGACCGAAACCCATATAGAAGATCGTAAAATCATAATATTTTAACATTAAGATAATGATTTGCAACTATAATGTATAAAACTGCACAGGAGAAAACTTTCCTCCACATGAAGTCCAATCGTTTATGGTACATGGAATAATTTTCATATTGAGGTCGACGCAGCAACGGATCTCCAGCAGGTAATTAAAGACGTAGGGTATCCTTTTTCTACCTGAGGTAAGAATGCAACGCTGGGGTTCCACTCCCCCGACGATATTTTGGATATCTGCTGCCCTGGAGTGATGGAACCATCTGCAAGTCTTTTTCCCACTTTGATGAATCGTGATAGCAAATCTGCGAAGTAGAAGTACATCTCCACGGTTTCCCCGAGTACCTTCCATGTTTGTTCCACTCGTAGGTCCAGAATTCGGGGGTGGGGTATTGTTCGTTTGTGATTCGCAGCTAGCCGGTGCCACATCCTTTGAATATTGTCATACGTTCCCCAAGACAATCTCGGCTGTTTCTCCAAGCAAAAAAGAAGGATATTTTATCAACATGAAAGAAGAATAAGAAATCATTAAAAAAAAGAAGAATAAGAAGAAATACGGTCTATACCACCAGATTAATACGCGAGATCATAGGGGAAGGTGTCTCTAGACGTGAAATCTCGGAACCGTTCGCTTTGGTTGCCCACAAGCCGTGAATTGTGAAATATCGTGGAATAGGGAGGGAGCATGGTGGTTCCGCCATGCATAAGGTAGAAGGCCACTGGAGAGCCATTACGTAAAAGTCAAATGCTAACGAATTGTAAACATTTGACAGAAGGAGAATGATTGTGAGTATGGCTGATTTTAGCATTGTCATTTTGTTTTTTTTCCTTTCGGTAAGTTGATTATATTGTGTTGGAAAGTGGAGTTTTTGCCGTGATTGGATTTTTTTTGCTCTTGTCATGTTATAGAGAAGGTAAGATCTTTAGGTAGCTCACACCATATGTATGTTTGGGAATTAGGTGGCTCACACCACAGAGAAGGGTAAGCTGTTGGCTCACACAGTATTAGCTCCTTGATGTTAGGTGGCTCACACTTGACTGGTGGGCGGGAAGGGAAGCTTTTGGCGCATTGCCATTGGCGGTATCCCAAAAAATTTTGTGCCCTGTTTTTTTCCATTCTCCTACCGGAAACTGAATGTCAGTTCCGTCAGTGGTCTTGCCCAAACCTCAATCGTAAATCTAAATCGGCAATGCTTCCAAACCGCTATCTGAAATCAAATCATTGTCCCTTGTTTTTGTCACTCTCAAATCTAACCCCCCGAAATCCCTCCTGGCGACCTCTCTGTCCATCGAAGCTCTCCTCGTCTCCCACCTTCTGTTCGGCCCACCACCGTCGCCCTCTTTTACTTCGCCGGTCGTCGCAGTCTTTGTTGGCATTTGGATCTGCCTTGGAAAGCCCCAGAAAAAGAAATCTACCTCATCTCCCACCTGCAATTCTACCGCAGCTGTTTGAAGGATTTAGCAACTTATTTCACGAAAATGGATCATTCAATGTTTGTGTGTCTTGGAGGTGGATTGCAACTAAACTGCAACACAGGAAAGGTTTTACATATGGACTTGGGGTTAATCGATTCTGAGGTAACCTTATTTTTTTATCTTCCCTTATTAACAAAATCTGCAATCTTACTTAGCTGGAACTTAATTTTGGTTTGTTCGTATTCTAGGGTTCAGATATTTGGGCAATCCGGGCTAGTTCCGCAGAAGCCACACCTGCTGCAGCACTCGTTGGTCGCGCAAACGCAGTTCTGTGTTGCGGCGGCGGGGGCAGCCAGAGCTGTGACGAGGAAAACAAAGAGGAGGAGATGGTGTGGGCTGATTACCGACTTTAATTAGCCGAATTTCCAAAGAAAGTAGTAATAACTTAGCATAGTGAAGCATTTCATCTAGTATGGTGTATGACAAAATAACTCATTAACGTGGATCTCCCACCGAATTCGAATTGATTTGAACGGGAAAAGACAATTGATGTTATTTTTAGATAGTATTTAAGTATCCGCACCCACCAAATTAACTCAAATATTTGCTACAATTATGATATAGGCTCATTAGCTTCAGCATTTCGCTCATCTATTTCCCTATAGTATTGTAAGTATCAACTATACAAAATTCTTATTAGTTTTCCCTCATTTTTACCAATAATGTCTTAACAAAATTTCAAAGTATTGATTCTAAGAAAAATTCCACTTTACGTTAAAAAAATTATATATGATTATTCGTGAATGGTTCTCCGAACCACACACGGCTAGGTTTTGGTATACGATCAACGATTTTACATCTCCGATTAATTTTTTTTTTGTTTTAAAGATGGTTACGATTTTAAAACCGTGGTTCAACGATGGTAGAGAGGAAAACCTTCTCCACCCAAATCATTGCCATCCCTAATTTCATCCCATGAATAAACTACACTCTTGGCATGATTATAATGAAGGCCATAAAGCTCATAAAAGCACGATATGATCCTATAGTCTCTACTGCATAAACATAACTTGTAGAGAAACTAACGAGATCATCCGCCAAACATAAATATTTAAGTTGAAGCTTGCGGTGTTGAGAATGATACGGTAGATCTTTGAACCTAGCAGTCTCATTAAGAATTCTATAATCTTCTTTTCTATCATAACGCTTATCAATTCCCTGACTAATAGAATGTCGCCAATTCCTCTGTCTTTCACAAATTGCCGATTGGTTCTCACTGATTAATTGAGACAAACACTTTTACTAACTAGAAAGGTTTTGTGACAACATACACGACATCCACGTCGACATGAATTATTAAATCACCAGCAAATCGAGAAAACTGTTAATAGAAGGTTGAAATATGAAACACTAGATAGTAACATCGCATGAAAATAGATGGAGTGCAATTGCATGCACGAAATTAGATGAACAAACCTAGTTTAGCAAACATAAACAACATCAACATCACCCACACTGTACGTACTCTCGTACTCTCATTTCATGCATAAACCTTCTGTATAATAGGATTCCACACATCTGCCAGCTTCTGCATGCTCTTCTCATACTCTTCCTTAGAAGCATTCCCATTCCCATCCAACCACTCGGAAGCTTCTCTCACTGCAGCCTCTGCCTTCTTCTTGTCATGGGACCACTTATTAGCACCAATGTTACGATTGTTCAGAGCGTCCTTGACGTCGTATATGTACCTCTCGAATCGGTTCCTCGCCTCAAAGCTCTCCTTGGCCCGTTTATCTTCCTTGGCCATCTGCTCCTCCTCCCTCACCATCCTCTCCACCTCTTCCTCCATTAGATTTCCTTTGTATCCCTTCGCAATGAACGATTTCGAGTTCTTTGTTTCCTTGTCTTCCACCAGTACGCTCAGAATCCCATTGGCATCGATCTCGAATGTCACGTTCATTTTGACAACACCCCTGCACAACATATATGGAGCTTTCTTCTTACTAGCAATTCATGGCTTCGAAAAGATGTCATCAACGCATTATGTACATTACCTTGGAGCCGGTGGAAGGTTTAGTAGACTAATCCTTCCAAGCTCAAGGCAATCCTTGGTCATCACTCTTTCACCATGAAATATCTACACAACGGAAGTTCAATACGATTATATGATGTGTTTTAAGTTGAAAATTGATTTGCAATAGGCTGGCTAGCTAGCTAGGTATGTAGGTAGGTTAAGTTATCAAAACAAACCCTGAATGCAATGGCGGTCTGGTTGTCCTGGCTAGTGTGATAAATGTGTGACATCTTGGTCGGAATAGAAGTATTTCTTGGGATCACTACCGACATCACATTACCAACGACGTGAACCCCCAAACATAAGAGAGCAACGTCATGTAAGGTAATACCTGTAGTACCAATAAGTATGTAATTAGGATCCTCATTAGCCAATATATAAATTGATAATTATTATAATAAGTAAAAAAACACACAATAAGAAACACGTAATTCATTCTCATACCGAATTATTTGGTGGTATGGAACTATAGTGAGACAATCAGCTGGCATATTATTTTCATAATAATATTTACGTACCGTACCACTCTGGTATGGATAGTAGACGACGAGTTTTACCATCCACACAATGACATGGTTTAGTAATCCTTGCACATGTGCAGTAGAGTATAAGGATATCAATTAAGTTTGGTTTACCTGACCATTAAGTATGGAACATAAAAAACCAAACAACAAAATAGACAAATTCCCAAAAATCAAAACCAAAATGGTGAGACGTCTAATGATTTTTCGGTTAATCAATAACCAATAAGGCTCTTGTTTGTGCCTGGATCGTACCAGGCAGTTTTGTAAGACTTCATTGGCCTTGTGCGGATTTCGATAGATTAGGGCGGTCTGCGAAACCCTGCAAGAAAGGTCCTCAGGGGAATCCTAGGACCTCTTCCGATGCCAAAGTTAGAGAGAGAAGTAGATGTGTTATAAATAAGAGAGAGAATTGAATAGATAGAAGTCACCATAAATGCTGCCCCCTCGGGGCTATTATACTAACTTTGGCTTGGGTCGAGATATTAATTTTCTATCAAGCGACCTAGGACGCTTCTGGACTCATTAAATGCTGCGTCAGTACGGATGTCTGACTCTCTCTGTCTAGAAGAGACCAGAGGAGCGTCAGTCAACCGTGTTGGGCGGTTTTGTCAGTATTTTTGCGCATCAGTGTCGGGCGGTCTCCTCGTGGTGTGAATGGGAGTAGACCTGGCAAATTACAACCCTACCCGAACCCACCCGAAAAATAGAGTTTTTTATGACCCAAAATCCGAATGACCCGAACCTGATAACCCGTAATTTTTTGAGTCGGGGTGGGTGGGTTAGCGGGTCGACCCGTTAGACCCGTTTCATTTCATACGTAACTCCTAAAATGATAAAATCACTCATAAACTGGTGAGATGTTTAAAAAAATTCACAAGGATTTGAAAGACATGTTTGGAGTTTAAAGATAATCAAATATCATGTGTTTCTTGTGGTAGTATTACTCTTGTGATTGTTTTTTGATGATATGTGCAATTTGTATTTCATTTCATTAGCATGAGAAGATTTGAGAATATGTTAATTGACATGTGTTAGGCAAACTATTGCCATGCATATGTGAAGATTTGTGTTCTTTAAAAAAATATGAAGTATGTTTGCTAATGTTTCTGAGAACGCTCATAACCCAAAACGAACCGTAACCCGACCCGAAATCGAATGGGTTGGGTCAATATTTACCCTGAAGTAAGCCAACCCAACATGACCCGACCCGTAACTCCAACCCGAAATTACCCAACCTGACCCGATTGCTAGGTCTAAATGGGAAATCGTCGTGGCCTGGTTTGCTTCTTTGTGGGCTTTGTAACCATGGGCCTTAGGCCCACGTATTCCAATACTTGGCCCAACATTTGCCCCTTAGTCGTGAGAAGTGTTAGGTTGTCGCGGCTACCCCGGCCACTACCCTTGCGCGGTTGTTTGTCATGCGGTCCATGGTTACCTGTCTGCCATTGGCTGTGGCGGCCTGATGCGGGGAACGACTGTGGAGCTGTCAAGACGCGAGGCGTCCTGCCCCTTGTCCTAGCGATGCCAGGTATCTTGTCACGGCCGCTGTGCCTTGTCAGAGCCAGGCGGAATGTCACATCTGTCACCTTGGTTTTTTAATTTTGCTATAAGTGGCATTGGGAGTTCTTTTGTCAACCAATTTTGCTTCCATTTGTGAGAAACTCTTGTCTTCTTCCTCCTTTCTTTTCTTTGGCGCAATTCAGAGGCTTTTTTTCCTGGCGACTTGTGCTATAAAATCCGACACGATCTCCAGTAAGCCTTTCTATTATCGTGCGTTTGGTTTATAGGGTGCGGCCCCTCTTCTTTGTAGCTTTTGTTCCTTCTTTTTCTCTATTAAGACGCCGCCCCCATCTTTTGTGCGTCGGACCTCGTGGAACTTCTTATGTGAGCGCAAATGACGAGAGACGAGCGAAGCTCCCCGGTCGATGAGGTGGAGCGAGCAACGGTTGCGGTAGACGGAGCGCCTGCTGGCGAGTCTGCTCCGACGGTGAACCCTGCTTCATCCGTAGCCTCAGGGACTGTGCCATCACCTTCCCCTTCTATTGGGGAAGGAGCATCGGCCCCTGCCGGTCTTCCTCCATCGCGGCTGGGAAGAAAGCGGCGGCGACCATAGGGATTCTGGCCCCTACTACGCAAGATACGATTTGTTCTCCCCCCGCTTGAAGCGTTTCCGAGTGCATGTTTGACCTATATGCTCTTGACTTGTACTTCGGGAGCGGTTCTGAATTAGACGATTGTCTTTTTGGGGACTCTTTGGGATGAGATAATCTTTTTGCTAACATCCGCTCTGTACCAGTTGGGCTTGTGACAACTTCATCTGCGGTTGGGGATAACTTGGGTGAGTTTGGGACAATAGAATTAGGCAGCGGTTCCTTGGATGAGGAGGAGGCGGTTAATAGTGATCGAGTACGCTCGGGGGCAGTTCCTAGTACATCATCCTCTTTGGAGGTAGTTGAGTCAGAGGCGGAAGAAGAGTCTCGGTTGGTGATTGAGGATTCCACTTATACAATCCTTCGACACGAAGGTATGTGGGATGGCCAACCTGCACCCCCAGAGGTATTCGAGCGCGGTCCTGAATATGTGGCGGCCTTGAAGCCCTAGCAAGTACTGCATTGATTGAATGTACTAGATCTACCACCTGAGTGGGAGTATGCAGCTCCCTCTGAGGAGAGCAAATCAGGGTCGTGCCTTAAAGGTTGGATCGCCATTCACGTGGAGCACGTGAAGCTGGGGTTGCGGTTCCCCTTAGATCCCATCCTAACCAAGACGTTGAACTGGTTGCAATGCACACTTGGACGCTTTTCGCCTACCATCATCTTCCACTCTGTCATGTACCGGTATGCTTGCAGCCGTGTGAAGGAGACGCCTTATTTTGATGCGTTCCGGCTGATTAACAAGATCCGAGAGTCGACCAACTGCTGGTCGATTGAGAGGCGGGAGAATCCCGTTGGCTTCATGTCGGGATCACCCAAGTTGTATTCGCCTTGGTATAGGGAGTACTTCTTTGCGCGTCCGTGTGGCCAGTGGTATTCGGGAGAGACAGCGTCTCCGACGGGGTATGCGGTTGGGTCCAAAGATTCCTGGTGTTCATCAAACCAGTTTCCTTAGTCAGTGACTGATGACTCGATATTTGTACATGTTTTCCCCTTTGTTTCTTGATCGTTTAAGCTTGCATTATTGCTTCTTTGGCCTATTTTACGCTAGGTCGTGTTTCTTTGTCATATTTCAGGTCCTAGCACATAAAGTGAAGCATAGGCGCAAGTTTCAAGTCAATCAGAGATCAATTGGCGATTCGGGAGAAGAAACTCTGGCATGACCTGAAGAAGAATGGATTTCTACCTCACTTTATGGACAAAGAATCGTGCAAGTTTGACATGGAAAGAAAGAGGACGAGACTACGAGCGTCTGGGATCAAACGGCGACTGATTCGGAGTCCGGACGAGGGAGAAACGAAGCATTGAATATAGGAGAACAGGTTCGGAAGTAAAAACACGGGCAGGAGGCCTTCAAAACACGGCCGTGTTCTGTGACCGTGCTTTTACTGCCGAGAGCAAATCCGAGTTTGGCAGACATGAGCTGATTACACGGGCGGGGCCGAGACAAAGCACGGGCGTGTTTTCCCAAAGCACGGCCGTGTTCTCCCAAAAGCACGGCCGTGTTTTCACCAACATGTGGCCGTGTAATTAACCCTAGCCAAAGCACGGGCGGGCTGAGGCAAAGCACGGCCGTGCCCTCGACAGTGCTTTGGCCAATGATGCCCTTTTAGGCAGATTTCAGCCAAATTGAGAGGGGATTCGAGTTTTAGAGAGATAGAACGATTCCTAGAGAGAGAAAGCGACGAACAAGAGTCTCCAAGCGCCCTAGATCGATCTTCAACACCATTGGAGCTTGGTTTGAGCTTGGAGAAGTGCCGATTCAACGTCCAGGAGCAGAAATCCATCTTCACAGTATGATTTCCGCGTCTGATTCTGCTTTTGCTTTCTTCTCCATGGAGTAGTTCTCCCATTCATCTGGGTGTGGGAAACCCTAGTTCTGTATGTTGAGATTGATTGTATGAACCCAAGTACTGATTCTGTGATTGGTTATATTCGATTGAGGTTTTATGATTGAATGACTTGAATCCTGATCAAATTCCTGTTGTTTCTGCTTTAACCTAGAATGAGAATATCTGCCTAGGTTCATAGAGTATCCTTGATTGAAGGTAGGGAGTTGGTGACTTTAGTCGAGGAGCCAACTCACTATTCTGTACCGGATTTACTCCGGTAGTGGAGGTTTTGTTCTTAGGGCCTCAATCTGTCGACTCCGGTGGAGGTTAGTCGCCCGCTAGAGAGTCAGATTGAGAGGGTCTGAAGACCTTTAGTCGAGACTTCAGGCTGTTTAAGAACCTTCCGCAGTATAATCTTCATAGAAACTGAACTTGGTAATTACAATCCGGCTTAACTGCAGACTAGGGGGAACCATATCCAGGTGACCTCTTTAACCTGAATACAACCAGTTTACTTGCTTTGTTTGTTTGGTAGTTTAGACTTGCACTCCAGTTTTATTGCTAGATAACAAGAACTCATTGAGTAGTCAGCAAATCTAGGACCCGGGTTGACATATAAACCTAACCCGCTATACTACGCTTTAGGAAGTGGTTTCACTTGGCCAATTCCTAGGGTGACAGTAGAGTCGAGTCAGTGACGGACCATGTTAACCGCATCGTTGGAGGCGTTCAGATTCACGTGTTCCATAGCGGTTCGGAAAGC